AATGGCATAAAACAACAAACTGGACTAAGAAATATCTGACGTAATAATAAACTGCTATAAATTGTAAAAAGTCGTATTAAAGTATACATTGGTATAAATCATATAAGCTGGTATAAAATAATAAACTGTTAAATATCAAATAAACTTTTATGAATAAAATGAATGATATAAGTTAACGAAAAACTAATATGAATCAAATAAACTTGTATAAAAGCAATAAAGTGGCATAAACAATAGATAAAGCAGTTATAGCATATTAATGATAGATGGTCTTGAATTGAATTGAAACCGCAAACTTGTCTATTGCTCGCACCTATGATGGATTGAGCTCAGGGTTGAGGGCAATCACCTTACAGGTCCTTTATATAGAAAAAGTCAGACCCACTGCTTCAATCAAGAGGTTATTTCACAGTTATTTTCAAGTCAACCTGCTGTGGTTTTTAATTTAACCTGTCCTTATAAACAACATCCTACTATCATTAAGTATCTCCGGTATTATGCAACCCAAATTTTTCCTATATATGATATACATACGTAGGTAGGTATAAAAATAAAAATGTTACTAACCTGATACTTCCATGATCTACATTTGTATACAGCACATGTAGGCCTTAGACATACATTTTTATGATTGTAACAGCATTCGATTGCAAATAATGGTTTATTTTGAAGACTGCCTTTTGATTGACGTTTTCCTATTATTTCAGAGTCATGCGATTCGAATATCCTGATGTGTCTTCAAAATTTTAAATGTTGATCCAATAACCTGACCTTAACGACGAAATCACTTGTGTCTAATAGCTGCAATAAACCGAAGAATTCTACCAATATTACATACATTTATATTAAACAATTACGATTTGGATAGAATAGCGGAATTTTAATTCAACTCCTTACTTGATTTAACCTAAGTAGATAGGTCGAAAATGGCCAAGCCATATCCGCAAATATTGCGAGCTAAAGTTCTATGAAAATGTATGTTTGGTTTGACGGGATGAATATGTAAGGCAAAGTTATAAATTGCTTTTGTATACATAAAAACGTTGACGTCTAAGCAATTTTATTTCATTGCTTAATCTATGTCAGTACTACATGGTGGAACCCGATGAATTCATGGCTGAAGGGTTTTCTCGAAGGTTGGTTTAATGAGTGAGACGAGTTAGCAAAAGCATTAATCTTCCTTTAAGGTATATTTAGTAAATCTTACAGTTCGAGTAAAATAACCGTATTTAATACAAAAGATAAAGATAAGACCCTACAAAAAAGCAACCTAGTACCCTATGATCAGTAGCCGGTTGCGATGCGCAATGTAAATTCTGGTACAATTTTGGTTGTACAGTTGCCCTAGGTAACTATATTCGCTTATTTAGTCACTGTACATAATAGTGATTTAGGATTATTTTCCGTTTCTTATAGTTTCGAATATATGAATCGACACCAAAAACTTTAAACGACTTTTTCTCGGAGAGCTATTTTCAGAGTCGTGTGGGTGGACTCTTCTCTCTCTCCTTAGATTTATCCAAAATAAAAAATTTGACAATTTCGATTTCTAAATCGTTCTGAAGCGTTAATTTTTCATTAAAAAAAACTAGGGAACTTTTGGGAAGCCACCATTTTTTTTTTTTTTTTCAAAATAAGAATTTTGACTATTGATCCGACCATATATATTCTTTTATACTAATTACATTTATACCCCGATCAGGGTATAGTAAGTTTGACAGGAATTATGTAAAATACCTAAGGAAACGTCAGCTGCCCTATAAAACGTCACCTGAAATGCAAAATAACGTATCATCCGAAAATTCGAAATTGAGTGTCTTATTGATTACGCTTCCCTACTTCAAATTACATACATAATATTACAAATGTTCAACTTTTTCAGGTTCTGGATATAAACCAACATTAAAATTTTTTTCACTCTTGTTCCATTTTTCATTCATGCCACTGTAAATTTCCGAAAATGTTGTTACGTTATTTTGCATTTCAGGTGACGACATATACTGGTGGCGACATAATTAGGGAAAAAATAAAGTTGAACCGCGTTTCAGTTCAATGTTTTTAGCACTTAATTTTCGCCTAGAGACCCACTGCAAATTGCAACGATATGTTATAACTATGCCTCGGTTTGAGTGACCGTATAAATTATTTTTACAAAAATTCGGCGGTTTGATGAATTTATTGTATTTTGAGTGTGCAAGCACTAGATCACATAATTAAGGACACCTATTTTTTTATTGAATTTTTATTATTTTCACATAAAAACTTGCGGTAAGTTGTGTAAATCAATTGTATACTAACTAAATATTCAAATTTAAATAATAAAACTGTTAGACATGGGTCGAGTTGTACTCCAGAACTGAGGAAATTGATTATTTACCAGTACGTGAAGGAAAGAATGTCCATTAGAGCCGTATCGAAGGAGCTTTTGTGCTCAAAATCAATGGTTCACAATGCTTTGATTTATTACGGAAGTACAGGGAATAAAATAAGAAAAAAACGACCAAGAAAAACTACTTCAAAGGACGATCGTGTAATTTGTAGAGTTTACAAGGCGAATCCTTTTTTAACTTCCAGGCAAATTCTCCGCACGATAAAGGATGAACTGACCAACGATGGATCAACACGAACCATCAGACGTCGTCTTCTTTAAAATGGGCTAAGGGGTTGTATCGCAAGAAAAAAACCGCACGTGTCAAACCAAAACTTAAAGAGTCGTATTAAATTTGCAAAGGAGCATATCGGAGCAAATTCTATGGAGCGATGAATCCAAGTTTAATTTCTTTGGTTCAGTTGGGAAACAATTTGTTCGACGCCCGCCAATCGGAGCAAATTCTATGGAGCGATGAATCCAAGTTTCATTTCTTTGGTTCAGATGGGAAACAATTTGTTCGACGCCCGCCAAAGAATTTCACCCTCGATACACTTTAAAAACGGTTAAGCATGGTCGAGGCATTATTATGGTTTTGACTGCATTTTCGTGGTACGGTGTAGATCCTATTCGACGGTTAACTCAAATAATGGACCAATATTTATATAAAGACATATTTTCGAGTACAATGAAGCCATTTGCAGAGTAACACATGACTGAACCATACATTCTTATGCAGGATAACGACTCCAAGCACACTTCAAGGAGTGCTAAATCTTGGCTTTCGTCCGAAAACATTACGGTTTTTAATTGGTCTGCCCATAGTCCGGACTTAAATCCAATCGAAAACCTCATGGCAGATGTCAAAGGAGCCATGGGGAAAAAATCAAGCAAAAATCCTGACGAATTATTTTAAAATGTCAAGTAAATATGGCAAAGCATATTAACTGAGCGATGTCAGCATTTGGTCGGTAGTCTCTCTAGAAGATGTAAAGCTGTGCTTGAATAAAAAGGCTATCCGACAAAATACTAACTGAAAATATTAATTCATAATCAAATTTTGATGTTTTTAGCATTATTTTTGCTACTTCGGATTGAGTAGGCAATTGAGAAGCAAAGTACTCTCTCGATGAACAAAAACCAAACTCTAGAAGTCACTCATAATTCCCGTCCTGCTATATGGTACAGAGGCTTGGACGATGACAACAACTGATGCGTCGACCTTGCGAGTTTTCGAGAGAAAAGTTCTGCGAAAGATTTATGGTCCTTTGCGCGTTGGCCACGGCGAATTCGGCATTCGATGGAACGATGAGCTGTTTGATATATACGACGATATTGACATACAACTTGTAGTTCAGCGAATTAAGAAACAGCGGCTACGCTGGCTAGGTCATGTTGTCCTAATGGACGAAAACACTCCAGCTCTGAAAGTTTTGCCGCCGCCGCCGCCGCGGGAAGCAGAGGAAGAGGAAGACCTCCACTCCGTTGAAAGGACCAGGTGGAGTAGGACCTGGCTGCGCTTGGAATATACAATTGGCGCCACGTAGCGAAAAGAAGAAACGACTGGCGCGCTGTTGTTAACTCGGCTATAATCGCGTAAGCGGTGTCTACGGCAATTAAGAAGAAGAAGAAGTATTATTTTTAATATACTAACCAAAAATCTGAAGTGTCCTTAATTAGATGACCAAGTCAAAATAGATATATATGTATGATTAATTTTTTGTCGCACGTTGAATTGAAAACTAATTTTTTCCTTAAATTTTCAATAAATCTATATCTTAGAAGATAATAAATATGGTAACATAAGTTTAAAAAAATATGTCCCTCTTAAATTATAAAATGAACCAACCAATGTTTTAAAAGAAAACGGAGTGTCCTTAATTATGTGACCACCAGTGTATGTACATATATAACTGATTAGCTCGATGAGATATCGATCTAAAATTTTACACACTTCCTTTCTCCCCAAGAAATTGTTCATTTGTCGGAAACGCCGATATCAGACGACTATAACATATAGCTAGCTTACCAACTGAGTTGAGATTGGATTATTATCGAAGGCAGTGGCACAATCTCCGGAGAAATGTTCGGAACGGATTGCAATAACATATATGTAGCTGCCAAACAAACGAAGTAATCAAAATCAAGATATAGATCATTTTAGACCCTTTTATGCTATGAGTAATGCAACTGTGAAGGGTATGATGGCTTCGGTGCAATCGAAATTAAGGCTTGATGTGCTTTGAAGAGGCGGATTATTTGAATATGTGGGCCTGTATGTCATTTACGTTTCATGAATTCTTGAAAAAAAAAACGCAAAAAAATTAAATGCGATGTATTGATTTTTCACTCTCGTAATGGCTTAAATTTTCAGCCATATTTTGTAGCGCATACCTTCCATTTAACAGTAGTTACGGCAATCTACAGAAAAAAATATTTATACTATTATTACACTGTCATAAATTATAATAGAGAAGACTCCCTAATTTCAGTTCTTCTACGACCCTCGAAAACTATTTTCTACCTCACATTAATTTCGAAATACTTTTGTAATCGTGAAGTCAATGTAGATAAGAAACAAAACGGAACTATTTCTGGTTTCCTATTCCAACACTGAGTAAAAAAACGAACATTTTGGTTTTGTAATTGTAGATCAAGTTCTATATCGACGAAGCAGTTACATGTGTTGTATAGCTTTTTTATTTTTATTATTTCACGGCCAACTTAATATTAGGTCACCAAATAGTTTTCTATAGATGTTGTTCGTAAATCTCTGACCATAGAGACTACATGCTACAGGCATATTGACAAATTAAATTAGAAATTTATAGTGAAATCATAATTGAAAACGAAAAAAAATATATGTTTATATATTAAAATTTTATAGTAATGTAATCTAGAAATAAAAATTCAGCCCGCAAAGATGACGTGCGCACACAAATAACATACACCGTACACCTTTCCCCCCCAAACAACCACATACCACCTCCACTCTGTATGTCGTCCAACTACTGCTTTCACGTACACATTCACACACACAGAAGCACCGCACGCCATAAACCGTAGCTTGTGGTGTGGCGCATGGCAGCAAGATGAAACGGTGATTTATTGAGCGCACGCACGCTCAAAACAGCGACTGAATTCTAATTTTCAAAACAACCCCCTCCAGCATCCCAACAAACAATCAATCCAACGTCTAAGTCAGCTATACCAAAGATGTTTTGTTCATATTTTTCTTTTTGTTGTTGTTATAATACAGGAGACTAGGTGCAGTTATAGTGTTGTTGGCGCCCATGCTTCCTGCTACCTTATATGGACAAATATTTCCATCTAATAGCTGCTCCCGCAGGTTACCCCTTAGACGTTGCTCGCTGATATTAATGATGATTGTTGTATAAATATATATGCTTATATATATTAAGTATCGCAGGTTGCTATGTAACGGTTGATCATAATGCTGTATCCTCCAACTGGTCGTCTTGGTCGTCCTGCCGCACTCCATCTTCCCACTGCTTCTCTACTCTCCGCTAACTGTTCCTGTCCACTGCATTGACTGTTGCCGTTGCTGTTGCTGCTGCTGCTGAATTGAGTTAAGTTAAGGCTTCCCCATATACGAAGCCGTTTCGTTAAGCATTTAAACCCAAGGAGTCCAGCCTTCGTAGAGCACAGCTAGATTATCGGGATTCATTGCCTCGCGTAAGATGTAGTCAACTTGCTCGGCAATGGTACAGCGTCGATTTGAGTCTGGATCGCGACCTTCCAGCTTCATGCGTACACGCTTCCAAACGGACACAGCGTAAGCGTTGCGTTTCTGCTCGCCCGGATTGTTGGCAGTGCCAGCTGGAAGTAAAGCCATAAAATATTAAAGAATTCAACTTAAGTCTATAAACAGCACCTACCTTTCTTATCAACAGCACCATCATCCACCGCTAACGTGGCCGTGGCTTCGTCTTTGTTGCCCGTGAATTTTTGTGTACCCTCCAAAGCCGCCGCATAGCTGCCTTTGTTGCGCAAAGGCGAATCCGGGATCCTACAACTCGACGACGCACCTTCCCTTTCGTCGCTGCTGAAACGTTGCGCCAACTCCAGTAATCCAATGTAGTTTTGCTCGTGGCTTGCAAGCAGCTCGTGTACTTTGGCCTTCAACTCCGTGGGCGTGGTGTCGGTGGTGTTACGCGCAATTAATTGCATCTGCAGCTCCGATAATTTATTGTGGAATAAGCGTAGCGCGTGTTGTAGATCTCGCGCATGCGCAATAGAGCCAATTCGATCAACAGCTGTTGTGGCGCGTGTATTCCGATCATTCTTAGTGATCGCTTTAAAGATGTGACGCACTTCGCTGCGTATTTGTGGGTCGATCAAGGGCTGTATTGAAGAAATGCATTTTAAATATGTAAGGAGAAGGTATTCAACACGAGACCCCATGTACGTTTTAAGAACCTTTTATAACTGAAGATTATCTCTACAGTTTAAGTAGGTATAGGTAATTTAAGCTCGACTAAAAGGAGCGGCGACTCAAATAAGCTGGATATATTTGTGATATCGACGGTTGTGACTCACATAACCTCAAAAAATTTTTCACCTAAATTACCTAGCTTTTAAATAGTACTGTTATATGGAAGGCTGTCCGCTATTTTTTTTATAATTTTTTATTTTATTTAATTTTTTTTTTTTGGTAATAACCAATATAGGTGGACCATTTTTAAAATTTTCCGTTCTACTATGCCCTACCTAGGAAGCTCCAAGAAATGAACCGTTTCCACAAGAAAATATTAATTTGTCGAGGCAATGACGTCACGTCATGTGGAGCTATTACGAGCAATTTTTGAATTTATCGGAAAGTTTATAATAATATAATTATTCAAGAAACAAAATAAAATGTTAACTTTGGCGACACTGTAGCCATAATACCCTGCAGATATAAAAACGGTTTCCATACAAGGAACTTGATTTCGATCAGTCTGTTTGTATAGCAGCTCTATGCTTTTGTCATCCGATTTGAACAATTAGTTTGGAGGCTGTAGCGCTGAATTTGACAATAATCTGTGATAAATTTCGCGAGAAAATTTTCTCAAACAATAATGGTGTCGAGTGGACAGTCTTTGTCCAGATAAAAATACGGATCCGTTCCGATTACTTAGACCCGACTGTCGTGGGAACGGTTCGCTCAATTTGTACGACAGCTATATCCTATACTGGTCCGATATCGACAGTTCCGGCAAAAGAGCAGTTTCTTGGGGAAAAAAGGACATGTGCAAAATTTCAGATCGATATCTGAAAACCTGAGGAACTATTTCGGTCCCTTCTGGGTGTTGCAAACTTCGTGGAAACTTAATATACGCTGCTCAAGATATAAAAATCGGATCTCATCGGACAAATCAAATTGTTGCCATATGGTTAGTGAGTGGCTTAATATTTTTTTACATCTCTTAATGACATTTTCCTTCATGGATACTTAATCAGTTTTCATCTCAGCTGTAATAGTGGTACTTAAAATGAGTCAAGCTACTCACCAGCATTTGCTGTCCCTGCTCGAAAAGTCCCTCTTTCAGAGCATCTTGCTCATGCTCCAATGTGGCCAGTTTGCGCTGTGAAGCGAACGTCATTTCATCCAGCAAACCGGCAATATTCTCTATCCAACACTGATCCACTTTACCCTCCGGATCCAAGAGCTGCACAATCGATTGCTCAATCGGCGTAATACTTGCGTTACTCTGCTGCACTGAGGCCACAGCGTCCGACCACTGTTGCAGCACAGCGAGAAAAGCATTATCAGCCTGTATGCGATTATCCTTGCTCTGCAGCAATTCGTATTGCAACAAAGCATTGGCATAATCGTATATCTGTGTAACCGATTCCAACAGGCTGTTGTAGCGCAGCTGCTGTGCCTTTACACATTCCATAAAGTCGGCTTGCACTGACAGCAAACTGCCATTCGATTGCAATGCCCAGTTCAGCTGCTGCGTCACGGCAGCCGTATACTTATTCACATCTTCGTGTATCTTAATTATTGTGTGCTTCCAAGCGCTCAATGACTGACTGCAAGCTTGCACTGATTTCAGCAGTTTTTCCTTCGGAAAACCATACATCAACTGTGTATCTGACTGCTGTAGCGCCGCTTCGTTCAACCAGAAGTGTGCACTGCCCACGAGCGCGCAATGTCCAGCCCATTTGGTATGCTGGAGCACTTGCATTTGATAGTTCTTGCCGCTGAAACCTTGCTGTAAAGCATGCAACAGATTCCGGCATAAACGCTCGGCATTCAACAGTGTAGCAGCCTCCAAGCAACGCAAATTCGGGTATTGAGTGGCGAGCGTGGTCAGTCGGCCGTGTAGCATGTGCGCGAAAAGTGATGGCAGGCCAGCGAGTATTGTGTGCTGCATAGTGTTCATGTACTCGTTAATGGATGCTGAAAAGCGACGCACATCGTATATTTGTTGTGTGTCGTTATGTAGCAATGCTTTGACATTATCGCGTACCGAACGGAAAATATTGGCGATTACTTCATATTTCAAGGTGCTATCGATCGTTGCTGTGGCGTTGACAAATAAGCGGGATTCCTGTGTATATAAGAAATGTAAATATAAATATTACAACAACAAAGCATTCGAAAATTGGCATTACCACGAATTGCTTGAAATTGGATTCGCCCATTCGCTCCATTATGATTTCCACAGTGGGTCTCAATAGCTTCACGCGTGTTTCGAAATCATCGAAGAGCGCGTAAATTTCATTGAAAAACAGTGACACCTTGGCGCTGCCGTTATGCATGCGTTGCGGTGAGTCGGCAGGGTTCGGCGCATATGCACAAATTTCTGCCAAAGCTGCTTGCACTTCGTCGTCGTTGTCCAGCATATATAAGCGCACGATACGTTTGGGCAACGTTTGTTCAAATGCGGTTTTCAAATTATGCAACGATTGCAGCGTTTCGGCGAGTGTGAGTAAATTGTCGTAATAATGTTGATCGGCATCTGGGAAAGCTACTTGACACAATTGTTGCAACATTTCCAGGAAATTCAATTGTTGATTGAGCAGATAATAATCTTGTGTGTCCAAAGCACACTCTTCGATGATCAGGAAGGAATCAGTGGCTTTCGATAGCGTTTCAAGCATGCAGGATTGCAGCGCTTGTGTGTGTGTATCCGGATCTAAGGCGATGAAAGTGTGTATTGTGGCAACGGCACCATCAAACAAAATTGACTGCAAATATATTTGAAGAAAAAAATTAAGTTATTGAAGTGGAAACAAAGAGGAAAAAGGATCGTATTAATAAAGCTAAAACATTCACTGAAAGGATGTATTATTTGTTGTTGTCAACTACATGTTTTAAATAATTTTTAAATCAAATACTATTGTGTTGACAGCTTCTGACAAAACATATATCGGTTCTGCTCTATTTACATTGAAACCACTACCAAAAAAACGGATAAAATTTAGTCGTACTATCAAAGAGTTCGCAGTATCTTAACGGACTTAGACCAGACCTTCACATGGACAACCTTCCCGTTTCCACAACAGTCGGGTCTACGAAAACCGGAACGGACCCGGATTTTTATCCGGCCAAGGACTGTCAACTCGGCAGAATTCTGCCATTACAACGACAACATGGACAACCTTCAATCCGACTTAAGGGTGCTTAACCCTGGACGGGCTTCGTTATTTCTCCCCTGTTTGAAAAACACGCTGATTGTTAGTCGAATCGATCTAAAGAATACATTTGGAGTTTATAGAGCTGCCTTGAACAATAATTATCCAATCCAGGGGCTCTATCGGATGACGGAATAAGTCCGATGCACGTCGAGCCGTAATCATCAACCCCGAAACTCCCGAAGACCTTAATCTAAAACTTACTGACCCAACACGGTACTATACCTGGATCGATCATTATGTCTCCTATCGGAAATCTGCATAGTGTGGTTAGTAGTTAAGGAGCATAATAAACTCCTCTCCAAGCAGTTTCTGCTGAAGTGTTTTCGTAGACATTATTTGCTTGAAACGGAACCGCTTCCTAGGAGCATCAAGAGATCCGTCCTCAATTACGTCGACGACATAAGACAATACGCCAACCAGACTTCGGACGCAACTAACTTCAGGTATACACTGACTGCCATTAACATTCACCGACTCTTTCTCAGCGAATGGTGTACTTGGAGCCAAACCACCACCCATTGCAGAGGAAGAATCCGCGAGCATCGAGAGTGACCCTTGCGATTCGTTCTAGATACTGTAGCAGGCTAAACTTTTACTTATCCAAAATCGACCCCCACATATCAAACATGTGTCTTGCATGCAACGAGTCCTCTCATAACTCTAACCACCTCTTTGCTTGCCCGGCTAACCCTACACATCTAACACCCTTCAACTTATGGGCCGACCCCATCGAAATATCATGTTTCCTGTGCCTATCGTTAGATGACCTCGATGCTAACTTATCTCAACCGTACGGGGACTAGATAATCGTTACAACAACAATAACAACCCCGAATAAATCATGCAAACCGATCAATTTTTAATTTTTCTTCCGCCATATTGGATCCGGCATTTTGAATTTTCAAAATTCAACTGAGATTTCGTAATCAGCGAACCTAAAATCCTCCGAGCAACATGATTCAAGCAAAGTCGACAATTTTTAAAAAAGTTTAACAAGTTGAGTTTGGAACTCAAAATCCACCATGTTTTTTGAGATTAGAAAAACAACATAACCTCATGTCATGTTAAAAACTAAGGTAGTCGCTCGCGAACAATATTCGCACGAATCCTTGACTAATAGTCGAACCAAGATTTTGTTTTCACGGTATGTACACTTCCGCAATTTATAAATACATCCCTGATTTGAGTTTAAACTCTTAATAATAACAATTTCGTATTCTTAACACTCACCACTTGATTAGGATGGTAATTTACATCACTAATGGCGGTGGACATTTCCATATTCGCTTCAATCCACACTTTCTCCAATCCAGCTGCATACTGTATGGCCTCGGACTTCGCGCCATCCGTCGAAATGGACGGCGCGCTCTCTTGCCACTGTTCAATTTGCTGCTGCAACTCGCCTACGCTCAGCTCTCCGCTCAACAACTCACGGTAGGCTTTCTCGTATTTGAGCAAATGGTTTTCCAGCAGACGTGAGCGTGGATAAAATTGCATCACGCCAATATATTGTTGCAACAGATCGATGCATTCCAGGGCGCAACGGCACTGTTGATAGAGTGTATTATCCATTTCCCTGCGTGTGAAATCACACTGTGCATACAATTGCTCCTGGCCGCTCTGCTCGAGCAGAGTGTGTAGCAATTCGAATTCATTTGTTGCTATATTTTGTTGTAGATCGCACAGTTGCAATTGCAGTGTTGACAATTCGCGTATGACAGAAGTGGATAGCAATTGTTCGAAATATATAGTCAGTATAGCATGGGTATCCTTCTGATACTTTTGCACATTCTCCTTCATCACATTGAGCGCACTTTCGTCACGCTTACAGCTTTTGTAACGATCAGTGATCGTATTTAGAGCGTGACTACCCATCGCTGTGCCGAGCGCTTGCAATTCGCGTATCATTGCCGATTGTTTGGTAATGCGATCGCGTTCTTGCTCTTCTCGACGTATCTCGGCTTGCAGTTCGATTAAATGATCGAGCGCACCCTCGATCTCTGACAAACGCGTCTGCAGATCGTCTCTGTAGGAGGAGAGAGCGTGTTAAATAAAATTAAATTTCAGAAATTGTCTTTCAGATTGCCTTCAACTCACCTATATTGTGTCCAAAATGGTTTGAGTTCGTGCAGCCGTACTTCCAGCGACTGACGTGTGTTTTCCCAAGTCGGTTTGCGTTGTGTTGCCTCGTCTGTGGATCCATTGGATTTCGTGTTACCCTCCTTTTGTACGCCGGCCGCCACTGCGTCCAATGCATTCAGACTGAAAGCGGCTGCGTACGCTGAGGTAGCGCGTGCTACAGTCGTGGTGCCATCGTCACTTACCGTCCAATCAACTAGGGGATCATAAACGAATGCCTCCAGCAGTGTGAGTAATGTTTCACGCTCTTTACGCAATATCTTCAACACATGTTCACAGCCCAGCCGGTATGTGCCCTAGAAAAATGTATGCAAATAGAAAATTATTATTAATTTGTTTTTCACTTTTAGGGAATTAAAGTAATTAATAGTTCGCCTGTAATGGGACAACAACAAATAAGGGATTGTTGTCATTTATAGTTCAGTATAACAGGAAGCATCTTCTTTATTATATGGGCATACGTGCCCCTTCGGATAACCTCCGCGATGATTGATTAGTGATTAAGCATCAGATAAAAATAAAATAAATAATACAACTCATTCATTACAACAACTAATCTCCACAAATTGCTGTATTATGATACGTGTTTTATTAGCGCTTTTTATTATTGTTTTATTTTGGGCAATAATATAACATACAGGAGAGTTCCCTGTTCCGCTGTTGATCAGAGCAAAGGTTGAGATATCTGATGAGGAGTTTCCGGACACCATCCAAAGAAAATCAACCATCAAGGGTTGGTATGCTAAGTTTAGACCTGGAGAAATGAGCTCCAAAGACGATGAAAGCAGCGGACGCCCAAAAGAAGTTCTTACCGACGGAAACATCAAAAAAGTTCACAAAATAATTTTGGGCCACCGTAAGGTGAAGTCACTCAAGATAGCAGGCTCCCGAGACATACATCAACTGAATGTGTACATCATATCATTCACGAATTTGAGAAAGATCTGTGCAAAAATGGTGCGCGAGCTCACCTTTGACCAAAAACCACGATGAGTGTTTGGATATGTTCAAAAATTATAAACCCGAGTTTTATCGTCGACATGTGACAATGGATGGAACACAAATCCATCATACCTCTCCGAATTTTAATCAACAGTCCACCCAGTGGACTGCACACGATGAACCCGCTCCAAAGTGTGGACACACAACAGTCAACTGGCAAGGTTAGACATCTGTGTTTTGGGATGCGGATGAACTAATTTATTTTGACTACTTTGAAAAAGGAAGAACCATCAACTGCGACTATTACAAAGCGTTACTGGACCGTTTGGGGTACGCAAAGTGGCTGCATTTCAAGAAAAAGGAAGTGCTGTTTCACCGAAAAAATGCACCGCGTCAGAAGTCAGTGGAAACGATGGCAAAAATTCATGAATTGGGCTTCGAATTGCTTCCGCATCAACCATATTCTCCAGATCTGAACTCCAGTGACTATTTTCTGTTCTCAGACCTCAAAAGAATACTTGCTGGGAAAAAAATTTCATCGAATGAAGAGGTGATCGCTGAAACTGAGCCATATTTTCATGGAAACAACAAAGCGTACTACAAAAATCGTATCGAAAAGTTAGAGGGTCGATATAATCAGTGTGGTCCAATCCCTGTGAGCTCTTACGGTCTGAGCAGGTTCTAAGACGGTTCCATCTATTGCATAGGAATATCAAGTGGTATCTCCTCACATCGAACAATACATCGTTTAGACATGCACTGTCCGCCATTCACTATGGGATCGTCAAAAACTACACCTACTCCCTCTGAGAAAATAACGTGTATGGGGTCAAACCACCGGCCATTGCAGACAAAGAGCTCGAATTGCCCCGAGAATCTAGAGTGACTTTGCGCAATTTCGTTCTGGATACTGCAGCACATTAAACTCCTACCAACCCCAAAGGTCCCCGTATGACTTTAACTACCTCTTCACATGCCCAGCGATTCCGTCTAATCACGCATAAGTCGTGTCAAGCTGTCCTGTTATTTTTGTTCAGTATTGTTTTTCATTTCATCACAGAAAGACTTAAGGAATGGGTATACTATTCGCAATACCAACACCCATCTTGAGACCCAGCATTCATTATTGTCTTCAAAAATGATGTCGCTGAGAACGTTACTGTTACGCGATGATAACCGACTATTTGATGCCTGAAATCTAAGGATTCAACAAAACGGCGCCACTTCTCACACATCTCATCAATCAATGGATTTATTGAGAGAACACTTCGGTGAGCAGATAATTACACGTTTTAGGCCGGTCGATTGGCCACCAAGATCATGTGATATCACATTGTTAGACTTCTTCCTGCGATGACCCCTACAGTCTATGCGAACAATCCCGCTTCGATTCAGGCCTACGAGCAAAACATCACGATTGTAATTCGCCAGTTACCAGTCGAAATACTCGAAAGAGTCAACGGAAATTGGACTCAACGGAGGGACCATTTGAAATGTAGCCGTGACCACCATTTGAAAGAGATAATCTTCAAAAAAATAAATGCCAAAGTATGTTCTTCGAATGATAATAAACATTCTCCATTAAATTTGAAATTTCTGAGATTTTTTTTTTTTAAGT